CACGGCTGACGACGTCCAAGCCGCCCTCAATCTCCAAACTGCTCAGTGCGGTGCCAGTACGTGTCACTCGTTATCTATGCTTCCTCCCCAAGTACTAAAAAAACGCGTCTTTTCTCTCCCTCTCTTCCCCACAGTCGGCGTTACCCCAAGCGGCTCAGCAACCCCCAACCCCGTCTCGTTCACCCTCTCCGGAAGCGACTCTGCCACCAGCTCGCCCGCACCCAGCACCTCTGGCGGATCCAGCACCACCAGCGGATCCAGCACGCCCACCTCTGCCCGCTCTAGCACCCCCGGAAGCAGCACGCCCACCTCGCCCTCGCAGACCAGCCCCGCTCCTACCACTAAGCCCAGCGGTGCTGCTTCGCCTTTAGTTGCGGGAAGCGGAGCGTTCATTGGTGCGATCCTTGCTGGTGTTTTGGCTCTTTGAGGGGAATAGTAAATTATGGGATTGGATGTTTGTATGGACAATTGGATTTTTTAGTTTTGAGTAATGGATTATGATTTGAGAGAATTGAATGCGGTGAATGATTTGATGAAGGACGGGATATCCGGGAGGACAGGATTCAAAATGTCGAAAGTGAAGCTTGAAAGGTGTCAGTGGCGTATTGTGCATGTGCAATTTAAATTTGAATTGAATTCGAATGTGGTTAGGTGCATATTCTATCTCGCTTGCGCTGGTGTTGATAATACAAAAACCCAGTTTGATATTCGACCACCCACCATGCATTCTGCATAGCAGTGTTACTGCGGTCTGACTTCATGAAAGCTTGCTCGCCGGCCAGTGGAGCCCATAACCTTGCACGATTCTTCGACTTCGGTGTCAATGACAGCCAGAATAATAATTCGAGTATGTAAACTTGAATGCAGGGTGACAGGACCGCACTCCACGTCCACACGGCATGGGGTGGCACGGGCACGGGTTGCAAACGAGATGGGGTTTGGCAGGTGGGTGGGTGCCTTTTGAAAGGTTTTTAGGGTGCCTCAGTGTTGCCCGACTATTGAGCCTGGAACGAGGCTGACATCGAGTTGTTATAGTACGCGTTCTTCGGATTTGATGTAGGGCAAGAGAGGGTAAATGTAATTATAGCTTATCTCGACGCGTCTCCTGACCCGCATCCTTCTGATTCCCATTCTATTTACAGGCCCTGTAAAAGCCAATCAACCACGCTTCTCTTCGTCCTTCACTTCCATACATAATTCTGATTCTGAATTCGATTACTTATGACGCGTTTTATCGGCGTGCGTCGCCGTTTATCAAAGCACGACGATGATATGACATCATTAGGGCCTCGTTGAACTCGGAAGGGGCATCAGCGCGGTCACCGTCCAACCCATCAAGACTGACTGCGTTACCTCTGGAGCCGGACCACCGGAAGGCCATCATTTGTGCTCCGGGTCACCCCTCCAGCCCGGCCGAGCTCGTGCCCCTAATTCACCCCGAAACCCGAGACTCGAGGCGAGCTTGACTTGTGCAGGAAGGAAAGTCACACATTCATAGATAGTGGGTTACGATTACATAGGAGACGGGGTGTAGATCATTACCATGGTTGTAGTCATGATTAGTGTCAGTCTACATAAGCGCTACTGTTAGTATTATAGTCAGTCATAGGTTGATTGAGTGATGAGGTGAACGAACCGAGTTGCATGAGTTGAATGCTTCTGTAGGAGATTCTTACCTTGCCTTACATCGTAACACATCCACATCGTACCACTACCACGACTGCGAACCCACGGTACTTATCTTACCCACTTACCTTGATCACCACGCTCGAAGTTACACGTATCCTTCGTCTACACTCCCGCTCAACTCAGATCATCATTCCAATGTCAACATCTGAATCCGACGAATCCAAATGGACCGCCATCCCAGACGCCGACACAATCGCTCAAGCAGCCTCTATCGAGCTATTTAACGTCTCTGGTGAAAAAGTGACGTTTGGGAGCTTGTTTGAGGGGAAGAAGGTGGTTGTTGTGTTTATTCGTGAGTGGGATTTCGTTTTGGTTCTGGGGATCTGATCAAAAGTTAATGAGTGTGGTGAATGTGTGGTGAATAGGTCATTTCTTTTGTTGTGTGAGTACATGCTCTCCTGATGCCCTCCAACTGACCGAACATAACTGTATCTCCGAAACTCTGCCCGTCATCGATCAACCTGTGTAAATAGAACTGTCAAGACTACGCCTCGCAGCTCTCCCGCGTCCCCAAATCAGCCCTCGATAACGCAGGAGTCGAAATCGTCCTGGTTGGGTGTGGGGATTATCAGCCTATCAAGTTTTATTCAGGTGAGCTGCCCTCTTCAAGCATCCCTTTGTTCAACTGACGCAATGGACATTGTAATTACAACCCCAAGAAACCACCTCCATCCCCCCTACGGCCATCTACGCAAACCCCACGCGGTCGCTGTTCCACCTCCTCGGTATGACCCTCGAGACGACGGCTCGAACCCCAAAAGGAGAGCAGAAGAGGAGTTATGTGAAGAAGGAGGGGCTGTGGGATCATGTTGTTAGTTTTGCACCGGTGAGTGGAATTTCGGGTTTTGAGTTTGAAAGGTTTGGATGATTCAGACAATGGACGTGGTGTTGGGACTTGAATGATCAGGCGATGATGAAGAATGCGTCGTTGATTGGGAAACATGGGAATCATGGGCAGCTGGGTGGGGATTTCGTGTTTGGACCTGGTACGTCCTGTTCCTTGTCCTTCACCTCCATCTTCCTCTGAATTTAATTTTGGATCTATCTAGGCAACCAATGCTCATTCGTATCTCGGATGAAACATACTGAAGATCGTACGTATATTAACACAGCTGATCTTTCGATTTACATATTTTCGATTTGGATAGACGTCGAAGTCGTGGATCTTATGAGAGCTGCTGGAGTGGCTTATGAGGGATAATCGAGATTTAGGTGTTGGGATGGCAGCTGTATGCCAGTGTATGGACAAGCGATTTCGATTTATGTTTGCGGAGGGTCGAGCCTCAAGATGTATGAATGTAAGATAAAGACATGGACAGGGGTCATCATTTCGCTCTCACTTCGAATTCGCTCCACCACTCAGATTCAGAAAGTCAAAGTTCAACGTTCGACAATGTGTAAGGGCGTCATTACATACATCTCATATTACACTCGCAGCCCACAGCTACATTGGAATATCTAAGCCTACTCATACTTCCCCTCCGTCACGTTCACACCCCTCCTCACAAGCACCTCGGACCTGCCCTCTCGCAGTTCTTGCGCGACGTAGTGTTGCCGTTTCTCGAGGTCTGTGTGCGGTTCGGTTAGCAAGTAGGCAAGCAACAGAGCAGGCAAGTGGTGGGGTAATGTGTGAGATAGGGATCAATGAGAAATAGAATGACGAGGGACTGAATGACGAGAGAGAGAAGATAAGAGGAAGGAGAAAACGCTCACCGTGAGCCCACATAGCCGCTCCTATCCTATTCGAAATCGTAAACGCCAGACCGATGATGGGAAGACCTTCGAGTAGGGAGGCTGCGAAGCCGAAGACTGCGATGAGATTTTTATATATAGTTAGTTATTCCGTCCAACGGAGGCGCGGGTATATGGAGTAGGATGACTCGGACGCACGTCGGTATTCCCATTTATGTTCCTCCATGAACACAGCTACTTGTTGCTTGTTCATCTTCTTGGCCTCAAAGTACTGTATGAGCGGGGTTGGTCAGTTAACTCTGGTTTGCTAATGAGCAGGGGCAAAAGGATGAAACCCGTACCCGCTTATGAAGGACATGTCCCATCCCATACGCTTTAATAGCAGCAGTAACCACAATCCCAACGAATGGATAAATCTGGAATGGGGACAACAGAACTACCGTACCATCACATCAGCCTCACCACCTTCTTGGATACCAAGCCAATTATTCATAGCCCACTCACCATTCCTAATCACAAACACCCCAAACCACCCCCCAAGCATCTTCTGCACCTTGCCCTCCTTCTGATCGCCCACCCGAGGGGGCTCAGCCCACTCCTCCACATAGCCCTGCCAGAACTCGGGGCCCTTTCCGCGCGACGCGACGGTTTGGTCCCAGGCGCGGTCTCGGGCGATGCGGATGTTGCGGGAGAGGAAGAAGCGGAGGATGGTGGTGATTTGGGAGCCCATGAGGGTTAGGGCTGCGTCTGTGGGGAGGAGTTTGGGTTATATGAGGAAAGGACAGGAGGGCAGAGGAGCGGGAGACGTACAGGTTGTTATGCTGAATGGGATGGTGTATCCGAACATTGTGTCGTTTGAGAGACCAGTGACACGGGGAGATCTTCAAGAAATCATAAATTCGAGGCTGGAGAGGAGAGGAAGGGGCTGGACTTACTTTGATAAGAACAACTCGATGAATTTACGTTGGATGTTGAATGTCAGTGCGGCCTGTATACAAGTAGGGTCGTTAGTATTCATCATAGCCGCATCACTCTCTTCTCTTCTAGCAGAGCAAATCAACCCACTCACCCAAATAGCCCCAACAATCAACCCCCTCCTCGTCGCATGCCTACACTTATCCCATGCAGGTTTATACAAATTCTTATCCGTGAACAGCCTATACACGCCCACCAGCACGTAGGACGGCGGAAACTCCATGCGGAGCGTGGCGCGCGTGAGGGTGGGCGGGATGTGCTCTTGCGCTGCTTTGAGGGAGAGGTCGTGTTCGAAGATGGCGTTGTGGGAGTCAGGTCCGAGGGTGGACATGTTGGGCTGCGGCTTGTCTGTGGATGTTGGAGGTGTGCGCCAAGTTGGTTGGGTCTGTTAGTGTAAGACTAAGTGGAATGTTTGCGCCCTCCTGGGGTGTCGAGGTAGAAATACGAGGATGAAGAGTAAGTAGGGAGAATAGATGGTGGTGGTAAGTAATGAGGTCAATTATAGCCGAAACTGGATTCAATTCAATTGAGTCGGGGGTGTTGGACACGTGTGGGAGATCGGCACGTGTTAGTCAGAGTCTCGAACGGGAAGGAAGGCTCGATCTCCGTCTCCACCTAGACGTCAAAGAAGGCCAAGCTTTCATGGGCTCTTAGCACAGTGGTAGCGCGCACGCTTTGCATGTCTAATGCGCTTGCGTGAGGTCGAGGGTTCAAACCCCTCAGTGTCCAATACTTTTTGTCCTTTTTGCATGGTAAATAGTGGGCTTATCGTTCCTTCGATTGAGTGCGCTGGACGCAAAGGAGAGGGGTGTGACATGAAAGAGTCCAAAGAAGGCAAAATAATTGAATCAAAACGGGAACGAAGGTAGATTCGGAGCAAGCTCCCTTGCCTTGGACTGAACCTTGAGGGAAAACGTTGATTGGGTCTAACGTTCATCCAAGCTGTACCTCTTCGAGTCCCTTGACTCATAGTATTTTGTCTTGGGGTGGCAAAGATACCTGAGCGGCTTTTTGCGTCTTTAGATTCATTGTGGTCTGTTTTTCGTCACTTACGGATATCGTAGAGAATTTGTACCCTTCACGATTCACGATTTTGAGCGTGGGCCATTCTGTTATCCTCGATGGATGCCGAACGAACTCCAGTGTGGGTGACATGGAGGTGAATTTGAAGTCAACAAATGTGGTACAGGCATTTCTTCCTCCATCGCATCCTTGTATCTGTCATTCACGCACACACAATCCGTGTTCAGTGCGGTGCTCCCCTAAGTTATCCTAGGCATGTCTTTACCTGAGAGTATAACAGCAGCCGCTGAATACCGCGCGTTGTGATATCTATCTGACCCACAGAAGTGGTTGACACATCCGGGTTAAGCCTTCCGATGGAGGAGATGCCAAACTGCCAAGGCCTAGCTTCTTTCGCTGATAATCTGACATCTTCAAGATGTATGTGAATAGTTAACAACGCGGTGAATATATGAAGAAATCACAGTTGCTCAAATCACCGTGCTTAAAAAACTAATTAACCAAATCAATGCAATACCAGATCGCAAAACCATAGATCTCACATAGATGGAGAGCGACTCAAGATAGCCTTCGTCTGCAGGCACAGCAGATTAATATCCAAGCTCCCTTTGACGTCGATATTAACGTTCTGCGACATACCCATTTTGAGCCAGGATTTTTCGGTATAGCACACCTTAACGTGGACCTCTGTGAAAATCTCATGGGCTGGCTTCGCAAGCTCAAGCGACACAGAGACGACACAGCGATCGCTTCCCCGCTCGGTGGTGGCGTTTTCGGTAACGAACCAGCGGACACCCTGCACTTCCTCAACGCCATTGCTATGACAGAGATCCACGCCTTCAATGCGGGCCCAATCGGGAATAATGACTTTCCCGGTTCTCTGGAAAGATACGTCCCCGATGCTCACTCCAAGCGGCTGGACGTTGAGGCTAAACATACCCGAGGCCCTCTTCGACACCTTTGTCCGCGACTCATACGACTTCTGCTGGCTGGGCCAGAAAGCTAAAATGTTTGGCTTCTTGGAATTGGATGGAGTCCCGTCGGGATATTCGAAAAGCCAAGTAATGCCGATGCTTTTGCAGCGAGAGGTTCGACCGAACCGTGAGGTGATGCTCCTTTGAGCAGTCACGCTGAGGTAGAGGTCGTACTTGGTAGAACCCGTTCTTACGATATCGACGATGGCGGCACTGATGTTGTGATCCCCTGCAGGCGTCGCGGCTGGAGTATGAGAGTTTTGAAGCAGCCGGGTGGGGAACTGGATGCCGAAGTTGCCTAAGTTCCAGGTCTGCGGCATCGTGGCAACTTGTTCTGGCACTCGCTGCCTCGAGAATCGGATCCCAGTATTGTAGAATAGGTGGGGAAATGTCAGGAGGGTGGGGTGGATCTAAATTTGTGGGTGAGTATACAAATCCTGTTTCTCTTGACACTTCTCAGACTCACTTGCTCAATCGAAGTACTTGCGAGGCTGTAGACAATCCACCCTGCTGATACCTTGTCCTTATGGTTCCGATTGCCAGCGACGCCCCATGCTTCGGAGAGATACACATAGTACGTGTACTGTTCTACCCAGTAGTCACGTAGCTGATTGACGGATGAAGAGAAAATGGGAATGGCCGCAATGCGCGTATGGAGCCGCTGCACTCTGGCCTGATTTTCGGAGGTGTTTCCAACAATACGAATAGCGAGGTCTATGCGATGTGATGTGATTAGTCTTCGGATGACAAAAGCCATAAATAATCACATCTTTACCTCTTAAATCGCCCATCGAAAAACGGGACGAATCATGACCACCCCCGAGGGTTAAGATCGTTAAGGGCTGGTTCTGATAGGGCTCACTGTCTTGAAGAACCCAAAGTGCGACCTAGCCCGGCCCCGCAAAATACCGTATTAGCAACTAGTATATAGGAGGTTGCTACAACGAAAACGGTGACGGCTCGTTACTTACAATTTCGAAGGCCACAGAAATAATACGCAGACGGTCAAGATGAGATTGGAGCTTGTCGACATGAGCAACGGTAAATGAGTAAATCTCGACCCGATTCTGCTCTTTTTCGTCGGCGGTTGATGTTTCTGTGGTTGATGCATAGCGAAAGATGAGATCCAGCAGGCGCAACCAGGTGTGGAATAGTAAAAAGACATCGTCGATGAGCTGATAAAGCTGCTTGCTTTGATCTCGGATGGCTTGTACGTGCTTGCAGTCGGAACGCTGATATATTCCCCGCAATCTGATAAGGCGTTAGTGAAGAACGATGGGAACCATCCACATCAAATTCTGACTAACAGATCGTCTTCTTGCGCGAAGTGATCTGCTGCTTCTACAGCTCTGCGGATTGTAGTGCTGATGCCATAGGGGATGTTGGGGGCGACAAACGTGGTTTGCCGTGTAGGTCGGACAGATCGGCTAGACGTCGACTGTAAAGACATTGGGAGTCAAAGGGGTGTTAAAGGATACATAGAAGCAATGTATAAGTTTATATCTAGTTTTTGACGGCCTGGAGGATCTGCTGGTAGTTTAGGGAGGCAATTGACATACATAGATTTTGCTACATACATGAGCTCAGCCCAATCGATCCATGAACCTCGATAACTTAGAAAAGTGACATATAAAATTATTAAATTGTGGAGATGTAGACATCATACCCATTTCAACATCACATTGTCTGATTTTTGTCCTTTGCGATCTGTAACCATTCCGTATCCCGCATTCGATGACGTGAACAGAAGCCGTTTGAACGTGTAGTTGGAACCAAGGTTGAAATTGAAACTTGTACTGACCCAGATACCACAAGCAAAAAGCCAAGCCATCGGGAGACGGAATCTAAAGATTAAGACAGGGTTGACCCTAGTTTATGTTTGAAAGAACAAGCTATAGTCGAAAGCTCACTTCTCCAGACTAGCCATGGGTCCTCACGTTATAACTATTGAGTCCTAAGATGATGCATTTATCCATGTAGGATGAGATGAATACAAAGGGCCGTGCCATGCCATCCAACTTGCCCGTCTGCGCGGATTGGCCCAGAGCAACGTCTAGAGCCATGTTTCATGCACGGTGCCTTTAAGGGTAATATGAAGAGTCATACAAAGTGTCATTATTAAAGGGACCCGCCGGAGAGGACTCGATCAGAGAGTGGGCAGAAAACATGAGGTGCATCGTGGCCAGAGGCGTTCCCAGGGTCCCAACATGAGGTCGGAATCACCATTGTTCGTAACGAAAGCGGTTACTCGACAGACTTTCAACCCCAACCTAGTTTCAACGCTCATGCGATGGCTGTTCCAAGTACCATCATCCATTCCTTTGTTGTGGACGTCGCTGTTGAAGATATAGCTCGTAATGCAGCGACGATTCTCAGAGAACTTTCTCCGCTGCTACAAATCGATGACAGGTGCGATTTAAATTGCCTAATAAGCGGGTCGGAATGGCCCCATTTAATGGGACATTATCTAGTCTCGGCAGAGAATATACTGACGGGATTAAGAGCAACGTTCTTGTCTTCGTCAAGGCCGTTGAACATAATTTTGTAGCTCTGATGAATGCCAGTTCCGCTTGCGCTGTTATGGTTGCTGTTCTTCAAATGTGGCAAGAATTACCCGGTTACGACGCATGCCTTTCAAAAATCTACCAGATGTTCCTTCTCGTTCGCAAAGATACGCTTGATGCTATCGGGGCGTACGTAGAAGCCAGAACGAGTCTCAAGGCTGTAAGTTTCTTTTTCAATGGCCACAATCCTGATTACTGACTGTATATCCTGAGACAGCTTTTCGAGAGCTTCTTAGAGAAACGTGGATCAGCCACTGTCCTTTCTGTGGATACAGTTCAGAAGGGAAGGTGTAAGTAGACACTTGTCCCTCCAGAGCTACTTTCAGATTATGTTTCGATAGCAACTCTGGCGCAGATCAGCGCGGATAATTTGGCATTGAAAGTCTTCTCTGCTCTTGAGAAGTCAGAGCGCATAACCGAATCCTTCGGAAATCACTTTCTGCAACTTGCACAGTGGCTTGAACCTATTCTACAGGACGAGAATAATATTCTCAAAGAGTCTGTCGAGGACACGAACCTTTGGTTTGAAGGCGCACCAGCAGTCTGGAAAAAGGCGCAGGACCACGGTCGGCATGGATTTCTTCCCGTAAGCCTCATTTTCTGCATCGCGTCAAGGGACCAGTCTAGGATATCTAATGTATTTTTTCACTTCTGCCTAGGTTATGGATGAAATGACTCATTCTTACCCCGAACTGTATACCCTATCAACGTCCGGTAACATACTTGCGAGGATTGCGGAAAGCAGGGCTGGGATTTTATGGCCAGAGGATTCAGACACGCTCGACATCACACCCCGTACGAAACGACAACGTATCCTACCAGCGGAGATTTCTTTCGTCTTCAACTCTAGTCATGCCTGCAGCATCAACATTGTCGGTGTAGAAAGGTTGAGAGAGTGCATTTCAAAAGTTACGCTTGGGTTCCAGTTTAATTTGTTGGAACATTATGGACCATTCTACCGTATTTCTGTTTTCTGCGAAGCCGAAGCGATGCCTGCGGATTCCACGGGGACAGCACCTCCCATCAAAGCTGTGAGCTACTCCCCTGAAAGCGCTGATATGTTACACGCAGACTCCAACTCCTTCCCAGCCGGACGAAAACCCTTCCTTGCTGTCACGACCTCGACATCTTCACCTGCAGCTGTGAATTGGACCTTCTCGCAGATAGA